TCTCTGAGACGTTTGCAGTTACAGCAAAGATGAATAGAGAGGAGGGCAGTCACCAGAGCAGTTCATGCCGCAGAGCAAAACAACTGCCAGTCTGCCTTCCCTAGGAAACCCATTGTGTAAATATTTGTGTAGGAGCCTCCAAAGGAGATTTGAAGTCTTGTGATAAAGGTAACTAAAACGTCCTTTCCTTGAGAAAACCAGCTATGATCCAGAAGATCCCATGAGGAACCATGAGAGAGATTTTCTCTCTGTAGCATCCCTATACTAGAGCGAACGAGCGTGTATGTCACTGATGGATCTCAAAGCATTTTTCAAAGGAGATTAGCATTGGTTTTCCCATCCTCGAGGTGCAGAAGCCAAGGAGTGGAGGAAGCATGCATGCCTTGTGCATGATCAGCTCTCCTGCACACTAATCCACAAACACATTGCTTTAGATCTTCATGTGCCTTACAAACACCATCTGTGTTTATATATTGAAAATATATTATCCCTAGTCTTTACACACTCATGTACATAAATGACAGAGCTTTTTAAAAGCACTCATGTTCAGCTCTTCAATGCTCAAGGGGTCATGCTGCATGGGCAGGCATTAAAAGAAGTGGCAGATTTTCAGAAAAATGTGACTTACTGAGCTGTTTTTGAAAAAAAAAATCTGTTCTGTATTTTGATGCATAATTTCCATCTGAGTTCGTGATAAGTCTGGCCCATGAAATGCATGTGGCCCATATTCACACCCGGTGTGTGCAGCTCTCTGCCATATGGATGAACTGTTAGCGCTCAGGAGTGTGTAACACCATCCCACCTCTTCACATGTCTTGAGAAGCATTGGAAATTTGGGGGGTTGATGTGGATACAGCATCCTGGCTGAGGTGCATCTGAGCAAGCAGCACCCATATCGTGGAGCTCACGTAGGAATTGTCTTACCTGACTTGAAATGTCTGAAAGTTCTCTCTGTTTTGAGCATCAAAGGCATCTTGGCCCTTGGGTTGAACTAGTCACTTGACTTTTTATTTTCTGGAGTTAGGGTGGAGGGCTTTTTCCCTCCAGAAGGAAACTGGGGGTCTGTGTTGGGTATGGAAAAACTCACTAAGCTCATGGTGAAACCTAGGACTCGATCAGGAGCAAACTCCCCTGCTTCTCTGCCACATCAAGTGTTCCTCTCTTCTGTCAACAGCTCTGCTCAACCACTGCTTCTTGTCACTTTGCTGAGATCTTGCTTTTCCATGGTGAAGGGAAAGCAAGTGCCTTGTGCCTCTTAGCTCTCAGTTCCCTCCATCCTTCTCTGGGTTTGGGAGAGGAGAACCTCGATTTGCTCCTTGTAGTCTTCCTTCATCCAAACTCTGGTGCTCATGCTTAGTGACCACCCGCTCCCATGTTCCCATCTATAGGGCTTTGGCATTGATTTCCCTTCTCATGGTACACAGAGAAGCAGAAGGGGTTCCCTGACTTTGTTGCCGGAGAGTGACCACAGCCCCATCCATCGCAGAGCAGCAGATAGCACAGATCAGCCAATTTGCCAGGCGTCAGGAGCAGTATTTTTCATGCAGACAGACTGTGCTAAATCAGTTCCTTCTCTCTGTGCTTTGAAACGTTCCTGTTTCTTGCTCTGACAAACTAGCAGAGTTTATATTGATCTGACAATGCAAAAAAGCACATAGTGTGGGCTTTAGACACCTGGTGGAATAATAAAACAGAAAGGAGGGAGGGCAGAATCATCATATTTTAACTTACATTAACTAGGAAGTCTGTCTTCTACCTTCCTTTCTTTTCTCTTGGAAAGCATCGTTTGTCTCGAAGGGAAGTGAAAAACCCCATGGCCTGGCATCCTGTCTACAGAAGGAAATTCTGTAGCAGATCTCCAGCCATGTATGTTATAGTCCTTCTGAGCTCCAAGACCAAACTTGGAGCCTCCAGTTCCAAAACCAAAGGCTTCACCATCTGTGTTGGTACCTGGGGCTGGGAGCAGAGACCAGTGCTGGGTCTTTTTCTCTCCCTGAGGCTGTTCAGTGGCTGATGAGTCCTCTCCAGCTCCTGCAGCAGCTCTCCACCCTCTCCTGTGCAGAAAAGCCTAGGTGGAGACAGCCTGCAGGCCACCAGCTGGGTCATCAGCCTGTAGTGCGAACCTTCAAACCGCTGAGAGGCACAGAATCAAGATGACACTAAAGAAATAAAGTATGTGCCTTGCTGTGTGCTCATATCACTGTGTGATCAGACTATAAAAACAACTGTTGTCTTTGACAGCCACTTTGTCGATAGACAGAACTGCTGGGGACCAGCTGATGTGAAAGCAGTGTGCTTTCCTTCTCCCTTTTCCTCAAGTGATGTTCATGAAATACCTTGCAATTAGTCAACCATCATGTGCTCTGTTTCAGAGCTTCACTTCATTCAGATACTTCATGTTATCAGCTGTTTTCATTTGAGATTTCTTTAAGCAGCGAAAGCACTAAGGGGATACGAAACTCTGGCTTGGAAAAGTGTGGAGAGCTAAAGCAGCTCCACACAGAAAGAAAGCACTTTGCTGAAGCACTAAACCACAAAGTCACACATCTCAGAAAATTTTCTCACTTCCCCCTTTCACCTTATTTTATTCTTAATTTCAACTTTGTTATAACCAATGGAGCGTAACACTCAAGAGCCTGACTGTATTTTCATCCCTGCCATTGCATGTTACCGCCACAGTAAACTCACTGCTTTATGTCTTGCCTTGGGTAAATTCATACTAAAACTGGAATATCAGTGCATACTTACCATCCTGGGGATGCAGCAGATATGTGACGCTAAGAGGACAAGAGAGGGCTCAGCCACTTGGAGTTTTATCTGCTGGGGGAGCCCAGCCAAGCAAGCTTGAGGTTCCCTGTGCCTGCCTGAACATGACCCACACGACTCTTACTCCAAGCGTAGCAAAGCCCTTCTGCTGAGCTGAAAGCTGTTTAATACAGACTTCACAGAGAAAAATCTCACTCACCAAGTAATATACCTTATGAGAAGCCATATTTTGCATAACATTACTTACCGGAGGAAACTCTTGTAAGAAGACAATTTATTGCCATGGCAGTAACTGGCTGACATTTATGAGAAGCCTTGTTTTATAAGGCTTTCCGTTGGCTGCAATGCTAGGGCCCCAGTTGTGCTCACGGAAAATGAGAAGGAAAGCAATGTTATTTAGCATGCATGATACTCTAGAGGCGTGCTGGTGTGAATAACAGTGGGGGGTAAAGTCTGCTTGGATCACATGGGATTGTGCATTCCAGGACTGTAAATTTGGGGTGAGTTAAAGGGAAAAGCTTGTTTTGGCTGAAGTTGTCTTATAATAAACTCCATATTTTGCATGGCCAGCCTGAAGCTCAATGAAGTTGTTGGTACATCTGAATTTATGGGGAAAGGCCAGGGCAACGGTAAGACTTGGTCTGTCCTGGCCCCAGGAAAGGGGGACATGGATGTGGGACAGAGCTGGCAAGAGGGAGGACAGGATCACCCAGGAGAGCCTGGCAGGCTCCTGTGCCAAGAGCCAGCAACCGGCAGGGTGAGGGCAATGCTGCTGGAGACAGCCGGGGTTGCAGACCCCATGGCAATGGCCATGCACCATCTGGGCTCTCAAACGAGTGAAGCTGATGGTGGGACATCCACCACCACCTCCTGGATGCCAGTGCATCCAGCCCCATCAAGCCGCAGGAGCGGGTGATTTTTAACCCACAGAGCTAAAGCAGAAAGCCACGCTGTCCTCAGTTAGCCCCCCAAGCCCACATCTCCCCTCTCTCTGCAAGGCAGCTTTGCATCGGAGCTCAACTCAGGTGGTGCCAGCAGGGAGCCCTGCCAAGCTCCTGTGGGCATTCTGCTCCCTTCTGGTGATGTTTCAGGACTCACCACGGGAAGAAATATCATTAAATTGAGCTTGGGGTCCATGCAGTGGTCAGGAACATGCCTTGGCTGGAGGGTGGTGGGTCCCTGGGGGACTGAGCCATGCTGTGGGGCTGAGCTGGGTCCGTGCCGCCATGGATCCAGGAGTGTCGTGGGGTGAGCCCACACCAGGGGGGTGCCTGTATGCTGCCTTAAGGTGTGTCGAGGGAGGGATTTCCAAGAGCCAAAGAGTCTTGGGCAGTTCATATCCCATTAGCAGATGGTGGAATTGTGCCTGTGCACCCTGAAGGGCTTTGCAGGGCTGAGTTGTGATCTGTAACTCTGCAAAGCAAAGTTGCTTCTCACTTAGAGTGCTCTGTGCAGGAGGAGAGCCAGGAAAGGTCTTGAATGACCGTAGAGGAGTTTCCTCAGGCCACAGCTTATTTATTTCTTAGCACCTCAATCCACAGGACCTTGGAAATCTCATATGTCTTCTATACCTAAAAGTTTTATTGATGTTATTTATTAACAGTTGTAAGAAACTATAACAGTATGGAAGCGCTGTTGGACCGGTATAATAATATCACAAGTGGCTTCTCTAGTACATCTTAAATAGGCCAACCCAAGTAGGACAAGCCCATTTTGGGATTCAGGCCCAAGCGAGCAGCTGGTGCAACCCCAGGGAACGCCATCAGCACGGCCCGGGGAGGAGCCTTGCTTGCTCTGTGCTAGCTCTGGGATGGCTGAATCACTGTTGTTGAGGAGCTTGAGGGAAACTTGTCTGGATGTCTCCTCCACTGGCCAAGCTGACTGCAAAGCTGGAGGCTGTGGTATGAAATGTCAGGGCCCCCGTGCTGCAAACCATCCCCCTGGCCCCATTTTTCACACTGGAACAACCTCCCCCCGGCAGCTGCGTCCAAGCAGATGCCACACGCTGCTCCATGACAGCTACCGGGGTGGTTTTTCTCAGTCCAGCCTTTTCTTTCCCCCAGTGCCAAAAGAAGGGGGATTAATTAAAAAAAAAAAAAATCCCACTGAAAACAAAACACAAACAAAAGCACCGCAGCGAATTAAAGCCTCCAGCTTGCACCCCGGGAGCCGGCAGCCACGTGCCGCGCTGGAAAGCCGAGCGCCCTGACACACGTGCCTCTTCTCTCTTGCAGATGACGGAGGGCCGCAGATGCCAAGTGCACCTGCTTGATGACAGGAAGCTGGAGCTCCTCGTTCAGGTAGGAACTACGTATTTTGCCATGCAATAGTTTGCTAGGGCTGTGGATTTTATCCAGGGTGGGGAGAGAAAAGGGTTTTCAGCTGAATTTCTCAGCAACTTCACACTGTGATTGCCTGCAGAGCTCTGGAAAGCTGCTGTAGTGCTGGGTGGGAAGAATCTACAAAGACATATCTGTCGAAAGGACTAATTCAGGACATATTTTGCTTTATTTTGTGCCAAAACTGTCCCAGTCACTGCCAGTGAAATAGTAAAGCAGCTCTGGTCATCTTTGATGCTGTTACTGTATCACTTAGCTATTTTTTGAGGCGTTGCCGTTGCTTGGCTTTGAGAAATGTATTGCATCTGCTTAAAATAGCTCCAGCATTTGTTTTTATCTTCCTTACTTGCTATCCTAAATTGCTGGGGTATGATGTGGGGCTCCATGCCAGAGGTGGCCATGCATCCACCTGCGCCCGGAGCGCAGCCGGCAGCAGAAGGGGCTGCAGTGGTGGTGCCACGGGCAAGCATTGCTAGAGATGTTACAGAGGCTGTAAATCATGTATCAGGCACAAATGTGCATTAAAATAAGTCTGTGCTCCATCTGCCTTTTTATTTAAAAAAAAAAAAAAAAAGAAAAAAAAGGAAAATTAGGAAAAATTAGTCTTGTGCTGGCTGTGTAACAATGGGCTGATGGAAGCTGTAGCATCCTGTGCTTTTCTGACTATTATGGCTCGTGTCTCAGAGATCACCAACGGGTTAATAACAAGAATTAGAAGAATGTCTTTCCTTTTGCAAACGTTGCTGGCCAGCCACAGGCAACCCAAGAAGCAGGAAATGAAACTTCCCATAGTGCCCAAATCCCCCGGCTGCAGCTGATAAGCTGGGAGGGGGGCAGCATCCTACCCAGCACAGGCAAACCTGAATGGGGATTGCTGAAGGCGACTTGAATCGCCGGAAGCACATTCAGCCTCGCTTTCTGGAAAGTTGCTTAAAAATACCATTAACAAAATGTTAATGGGTAATGTTTTTTCAAGTACATAGTCGCAGAGGAGGTAAAATCCCTCAGCTCCCCCTGACACTTGCTGCGGTCAGAGAGTGCCTGGATAACCATGAACAAGCCAGGCCAAGGCTGGAATGAGAACAGCTAAATCAGGGTGACTAATTAACAGAAAACACTGTACCAACGGTCTCTGCATGGCGAGCATCCCTGTACCAGGCTGCACCAGGCCCACTGATGCTTAGCAGCTGGCTGGGGGAAGCTCAAGGCACCTTCATCACAAGAACACAGCACTCGACTTCCTATTTCATATAAATGCCTTTTTACATTTTTTTTTAGTTCAGTTAAAAATAAACGGACTATTTGAGAACAGCTCTGCTAAAGCACTGCTCGCAATATTAATAATCACTGTTTAAAATATATGAGCTGCCCTGGAACCTGCTTATTTGGGGGGTTTATTAGTAACACAAAAAACCCACAGTGAAGATGACAGACCAAGAGACCGGTTTGGGAAGCTCTGCATCCTATTCTGAGTGAGCAAAACCAATATCATGTGATATTATTTTTTTAAGTGTTTGATCACACCTTCAATGGGCATTTCTCGTAATCAATACAGGAAGCAAATTGCTCTGTAAATCACACTAACTAGTTTGCAAGTGACCCGTGGTTGAATTTTATTCGTACAATAAATTATTTTGCTGTTTTCAAGTAACGTATGAATGGGGAAATCCAGGAGGGGTGATTATGAAAAATTCATGCCCAGAAAAAGCAATAACCTCTGTTGCATGCAGGTTGACCTAGATCTCTGAGCACCACCATGCCCCTATGTGTACAGGGTTGTGCACTGAGGCATCTCAGATGCTTTTCTGGTTAAATGAGGCTTTTCAGTGCTGTTAGTTAGCCTCTACTCAGGGCGATAGTAGGTAAATCACTTTTGGGTGGAGCAGACGACAGAGGAAGAGGATGTTTGGATTGAAGTATGTCTCCAATATTGATGCTTTTTGCAGACGGTCACAACACTTGGGTTTGCCTGCCTGTAAAGCATGGGCAAACCACCAGCTTTGGGGTGGTCCTAGGGCAGCTCTGCCTGGGGCAGGAGCAGGCTGATGCTGCCCAGATGAGTAGTGCTTTGCCCTGACAGGTCCTCAATCAACTAGGCACCCTCCAGGAGCAACATGCACTTTGCCCCGGGGAAATCCCACCAACTGACCTTTATTGTTTGCAACTGGTGGTGAGATTTCAGATAAAAGTAGCTTTGTAAGTTTTGAGCACCGTTATTTTTATCACCTTATCTTGTAGCTAAACTGAATAAGAAGCTGTAAATAAAATGTTCATCCAACCCCAAGGTTCTGGCTATCACTTCAAAGCTGTATTTTTCTGTGGGTATCTTGCCACGGGCTGAAATGGAGAGCTGATTTGCTGGTTTATGCCATGAGAGAGCTTCTTCCATGGCTGTGTTGGGCCTTTACATCTAGACCTGCATTAGCTTGAATCATTTGGGAGCCAGGCTTTTAAATTCTCATGTGAAATTTCTTCCTTCCCACCAACCTCAACCTTTCCTGGAAGCGTTTCCATAGCTAATTTCACATTCCTATGGTAAGTTTAGGAGAGACCGTTGGGAATCAGTAGAGCAGATTTCTCTGCCATGGATGAGATCAAAATAACATCCTAACCTGGCTTTACGCAGCCTTGCAGCGCTTGTGTGTGTGATATCGAGTGCTCTGCTTAGAAAAGGGTTCGGGGATCCTGCTGCTCTATGTTGGCATGGAAAAAAACAGCAGAAAAATCTGGGTCTGATCAAAGGAGGGAGATGGGTACAGCTCCCTCAGATGGACAGAGAAGGGCTCCTGGAGCATCTTGAAACTGCTTAGGCTGGTGACTCTGGGGAGCTGAAATTATTTCCTCTCCTGCTGCCTCGAGTGCTGCTGGGCAGAAACAGATGCATCTGGGAATGATCAGGGTGTTTGCAAAAAACAGTATATTAAGCAAATGTACTCCCTTTTTTATCTGCAGATTAGCTGTGATCAGGCTCAGGGGTTTATGAATATGTCATTCAAAATAAATCAATTGATGGTTAATAAGGACCATACCTCAGGCTGCAGGGGGACAGCAAGTGGTAGCTGTGCTCCTGCAGTTGTTTGCAGGAGTCAGCCTTGGCCCTGTGCAGCAGCTCTGCCAGACCAGATTGAAATGTTTCAACACTACAAATTCCCTCCCAAAACTACAAAGACCCCTCAGACTGGCCACACATCTATTGCCAGTGGGACCCCCCACACACATATGTTTTATTTACATTACTGAGCCCCAAAAGTAAGATTTTGGCTCAGAGGCAGCTTTTATAACCCCTTCTGTGAACGTTGGCTTGCCTCAGTGTTGGCATGGGGTTGGGGTTGCCACCACCAGGGAAGTGATCCTGGGTTTAGTCAATCGAAGGGTCTTGACTAAAGTCTTTTCCTCCCAAGTTGAGCAGCTGCAGAGTGGTACATCAGCAGCTAAGGAAAAGCAGAAACACAGGCTTTGCGGATAAAAGAAAGCCCTCCCCAATGTGTTTCGTCAGATAAATGCTGAAATTTAGAAGGGCTAATCATAAAAGGAGACAGAGGAGGATCATATGGAAATCTCTTCCTGAGGGTCTGAAACTCAAAGCCTGTTTGATTTGGGATTAGGAAGAAGAGTTGCATTTGGTATGTGTTCCATTTGATAAATGCCTGTTGATGATCTGGTGTGTGTGGCAAGTTTACATAGGATATTTTTTTGACAGTGTTTTCCTTCTGAGCAGGAGCAGAGTGTGGCTCCTCGGATCATTTTACAATGTTTTTTTTCCTGTTTCTGTTTGATACATGTTTAGTTTCTACTACAGGTTTTTTGGGGGGTTTTTTTTTAAAGTGTTTGACTTTATCCAGCTAATCCTTTTCAGCAAGTCCCTTTTCTTGCTTCTGGAAAATGGATTTGCTCACATTCTCTGCTCTCAGCCTCCCTATCTGTTATATTATTTCCCTGTGACCGTGTATCATTTGTCTGTTGCACATGAAAGGTTTGTATTGCTTTATTTAAAGACTTTTTCGTAATTGGCAATTCGTTCCTTTTCATGTGGGTTTTTATAAACAAGACTTTTTTCCGGGCTGGCTGAATCAGGCAGCCTGGCTCGCTCCCGGCTCCTCTGCTGGCTGCCGGTGCCTGTTATCTGACGGTGGCTCCAGCAACTGTCATCTGAAAGTGTTAAGCCTCCTAATTCTTTCTCTCTGGAAGAGTTATTGCAGAAACGGAGCTCATCCAAGGCTCATAGCAGAGCTGTCTGTGGGGTCCAGAGGGCTCTGAAATTTGATAATAGGAAATAACTGGGCTTTTTTGTTTCTAACCTTCTCCCTGAGGAGCACTGAGCCTGATTTGGAAGAGCCAGGGAGAGACATGGAGGTCAGCACCACACTTGTCTGCAGGTATATGGTTGGTTAACCCACCTAGATGTCCATTTTATCACTTCTTAAGTAACTCTTGCTACTCAGACAGCTCAAGGTAAGCTAGGAAAGCTTGCAGCATTTCTGTCATCTCCCAGCTGCGATGCAAATGCATCCAAAACCACATCAACAGTGATACATGTATACACACAGCCAGAATTAATGGGATGCACAGAACACCCCTTTCCAACCGTTTTGCCTTGTGCACCAACTCTGCTTTGAGCAGTCAGGAGGCCTTGGAAAACCCAGGATTTGTCTTCTGCATGCCTGCTGTGCTGCAGCATCTCGTCCCCAGAAACCACTCCAGACTGGGAGACGCTGGTAGGTGTGAGCCAACGCTGGGCTGGCAAGATGCCTCGTGGGCTGGTGACTCACTGCCGCAGGGGTGGCTGTCACCAACATGGCCATCCCGGTGGAGATGCTCAGTTCAGAGCACACCAGTGTCCCTTGCTCCTCCAGGCTCAGGCTCACTGGGGCCAGGCTGAGGCATACTGTCCCTGGGGGGAGATAGAGCATCTTCTGAGAGCAAGAATTCCACTAATAATGGTTAGAGGGAGAAATAAAATA